AGGTGTGATTGCCCCGTGCGGGAGGAGCAGATTCGCCCCCCCTCGCACGTCCCGAACCCACAGCCTGTGCTCACCCCACCCTGGGGACGTGCTGCCGTCGGACCCCTGTTTGCACCCTGCTCCCCAAAACTTCTGGGCGGAGAGCTGGGCTGTGCAGCCAGCAGGCTAGAGGCTCGCGTTTCCTGAATGGGGCTGAAAATGCGTGCTTAAACAGGGGGAAAATAATATTGCTACCATTTACTTCCCTAAATTAAAAATGAATGCGGCTCTCTGCGGGATACAGTTCAGTGGGGGAAATCTCATGGGCCTCTTCACGAGGTGGTCAGAGTAAAGAGTCTCAATAGAGAAGGAAAGACCAGAGACTGCAAAGGACAAATGACGTTGGGATTGACCCTGCCTGCTCTCCACCCCGGCTGCTGTTGCAAGCTGTCCTGCTTCTGTCAAAAGAAATAATGAACAAAATGCTTTTTAAAGTTTTGTTTTTTTTTTTCTTTCTTTCTTTTTCCCCTGCTATTATAGTTCTGTTTCTGCAATTTCCTTTTGGAGAAGGGTAGTTAGATAAAAGCTGCTTTGGAGCCTGTTCCCGTGAAGCCCTAAAGGCAGTCAGAAAGCGGATGACACTTGGCAGTTGTCGTGATCGTGCGTGTCGGTGTCCCCAGCGCTGGGGCAGTCGCTGCTGGAAGGAGAATGGTGGTGTTTGCTGCTGTATGAGGAGAAACCTCAATGTATTTATGGTTGTGTCGAAAGAAGGAAGTTAAATATGATCAGTGTTTTGATACTGGTTGAGAGATAAGAGCAGAGGGCTGAAATTCAGAGCTCCTGGATTCTGTTTGTGGCTGTGGGAGGAGGAAGGGTTTTGGGTTCTGCCATTGATTCTTCTTGTGTCTCTGGGCCACGTAAGGTGGAATTGCCAGAAGTGACTGTGGATCCTGCCCTGTTAGGTCTCTAGCTGGAGATATGCTGGAATTGTTTATTTTCTCCAGAGGTCCCCAGTCCCCACAGAGCAGAAAATGGCAGCTTTGCTGGAGACATCCCCAAAAGGGAACGTTAAAAAAGGGGCCAAGTATAGCAATTTTGGTCTAACTTATATGTAGCTAGGAAGAGTGCACGGTTAAGTTCTGCAGCTTTCCACAGGAAGATGGTCTTGAGGCATTGGTCAGACTTATTGCTGGTATCATCCTGCTGAAGTCACAGGCTTAACACCTGTAGTTAATTTACTCCTTAGCACCAAGGAGCCTTCAAAGCCCTGCAGATAGGTGTGAAACACCATCATGACAAGAAGCTTTGAAGCTGCGGTGCAGGCAGGATTGGGGGAGTCCTGTGCTGATGAAAACTTCCTTTTATTTTATTTTTTTCTTTATTTTTGTAATTGGGTTTTGTCAGGTGTGCGAGGAGCAGAAGTGCGAAGAAGAGGTCTTCCCCTTGGCCATGAATTACGTGGATCGCTACCTGTCGTCAGTCCCCGTGCGGAAAAATCACTTGCAGCTTCTGGGAGCAGTCTGCATGCTCCTGGCTTCCAAGCTGCGAGAAACCATGCCCCTGACCGTGGAGAAACTCTGCATTTACACAGACAACTCCATCACGCCTCAGCAGCTCCTGGTAACCACCCCGATCTGAAAGAGCCCTTTACCTCCTCCCCAGCTCTCTTATTTCCTGCATCCTGCTACTTGGCAGCGTACCTGGCTCCGTGTCTCCTCCTGTTTTCTTTCTCCCATTTCTTCACTTTCCTCTGCATTCCCCAAGCAACCTCCTCTCCTCCTTGCCCAGGTGGGTGCGATGCCCGTCGCTGGAGACCTTTCCTGTTGGAGGAAGCAGAATGGTCACCGCCAGGTTATAGAGAAAATTCCTTGTGCCTTAAGTGCTGGTTGCCAGCGCTGAGCTGCCGCACCGAGCTCACTCTCGGGCGCTGGTTTGCTCTCGAGTGACAGCTCTGGAGAACAAAGGCTCCCGTCTGCGCAGCCAGCGGGGCACGAGGCGGGGGCTGCCGCTGGGGCGTGCGGCTCTGACTTGCCCCGGCTGCAAAGGGGCATGACGTGGGAGATGCATTTCCACACCGGCAGGAAAAATGAAGCTTTAAGTGGAGAGTTAACTGGCAAAATGAGTGGGAGCCTTTCTCACCTGGGATCCGGCTGGCTGGGTTGTACGACCGGGGCTGACACGGCTGCTGAGGGGCTGGAAATGAATGGGACCTCGCTGGTGCCCAGGTCCTGCTCCGCACCCTTGAGTTAAAGCAGAGCTACTTTGCCTCTCCCGTCAGATGATCTGGCAGCAGCTGTGTAGGCTTTGAAAGGCAAAGCGTTTTCATGTCTGATAAAAGTGCAAAGCAAAGATCCAGACCTCTGGGTTCAACTTTGCCAAGGGGGGAGGATGTTGGAGAACCCCTTTTCTTGGGGGCCTTCGGTGCTGGTAGATCAGAGCCCTCAGGAGGAAACGGCCACCTCGCTTCGAGTAACAAACATCCCTGGAGACGGTTTGTCTACGAGAATTTCTCAGGGTTAGTCATCGCCTTATTAAATACATATTTTTTTGGGCTGGGGTGGGTGAGATGATCTGAGTGTGATTTGTCCCCAGGGTGGGGAGTGAACCCACAAAACTTTCAGGTGTGAATCGGAAGGCAGTTCTGGTAACTGGGGAACTCTAGTATGAACATGGTTTTTCCAAGTGCCAGCGAAGGCTGGGGAAAATCCCCTCACCTCCCTACCTCTCTCCCTGTAGCTGTTTGTGGGTGGTTGTTGCCTTAAGTAGCACTCATGGAAAAAAGTAGGTGGATCATCACCATGAATAGTGGCGAGGGATGGGAATGCACAGAGGAAACGCAGGTGCTCATTGCTCCTCTGGATGCTGAGCTGTGGTCGTGCTGCGGGGGGCTGACACAAAATCTTTCTCCTGCTTTCTCAGTAAATCTTCATCCTTGAGAGCACCTCCAGCAATGGATTCTGCATGGGTATCTCCCCAAGACTGGGATCCATCACGTGAAACTAATCTCAGCCTGTAATGGGAGGGTTCCTGTTGGCCCTGTGATAATGAGGGGGTTAACATTTAGCTGGAAAAAAAGGCGGGGGGGGGTGTGGAATGAGAGTTGGTTTGCATTCACTTTTCTGCTGGACCAGCAGAAGTTGCAATTGCCTCTTGCAAAAGCAACAACCTGAGCAGAAGGTGCCTACCAGATGTCTTGTAGGCAAGCAGGCTGCGTTTCAGAGTGTGGACAGGGCTCTCCATGCCCTCGGGAGCATGAAGGCGATCAAAATGCATGTTGTGGGCCAGTGTCAGGTTTGTGTCTGTTCGGAGTGATGGATAAGCTCTGTCCAACAGGAATATGGGTTGCAGGAGGGTGAATTTACTGCCACGCTTCACCTCTATCTTCCTCTCTGATCCAGACTTTACAAGGGAGTCCTGTCATCATCCCTGCAGACTAGGGGAGATCATCACAGCAAATTCTAGTGATTTCTGGGCTACAAGGAGTTGGTCTCGGTGGGCACCTTGCGCATATCTCCTATGGATCCCAGTTGTATTTCGTTCTGATTTATTTGGTGATTTATTCTTGGTGAGGATTTGCTTTTTTTGGTTGACTCTTGAGCTGTATTTGTACTAGGCTCCTTCCAAAGGAGAACAGGTAGGAGATGTGCAGGTGGGTGGTAGGCAGAGCATGTGCACTATCCCTGGAGGCTTTCTTTCACTCTTGCACTCAAATGCTAATGCCTCCTCACTCCAAGTTTTTTTTTTTATTTCCTCCCCCCAGAGGTTTGTCAGCAGGAAGCTGTGGCCAAGCAGTGCCACAATGTCCGTCTCCCCTTCTCCTGGCACCACTGGGGTTGAGATGAAGGAGGAAAGTGCTGTCTGCTGCCTCTTGCTCACTTCTGATTGTGCAGGGCTCGGTACCGGAGTTTTCCTCCTCTGTACTTTTTTCCAACCAGGCTCCTGGGTTGCTCTCAGTGCAGCAGGAGACACCGCCGGATGGTTGGCCCAGATCTCTTTCATCGTTGCACTCCAGAATCAATATGCGGTTGAGGTGGACAAGAATTTTGGGCATCAAAAGTCCTTTCCTGGGATGGCTAACGATAGCTTTTTCAGGCAAATAGGACCTCTTTCCTCTTTCCCAAGGGGATGGCTGTGAACGCTCGGCAGTGCAGGGGCTTATTCCTGGTAATTGGTGCTAGCCAAAGGGCTGAGCAGAAGGCATCACAAACCAGCCACCGCCCTTAAGGAGGGGTGCTGAGGCATTTGCAGATGTCTGGGCAGGGGCTGCTCTGCAGCCCGTGATCTGGTGGTCATCTTTCCCTGCCCAGCACAGGGCTTGCTTTCGGTAGATGTTTAACCCTGTTTGGAGCAGATCCTGCTCCAGTCTCCCGTTGCTCTCCAGTGTAAAGAGAGAGTGGAGGTAACATCTGAAGATAACGGGAAGGATTTGTCTTTGCTTTGGGAGCTGACAAGAGTTAATACCCTGATTACAAAACCAGGGCGAGCTGCAGTTTTCCTCCTCTGTGCTAATCGTGGTAATGTTACTTCTCTTTCACAATCTCGCAGTGGAAGAGGGTGGGGAGGGGAAGGGGAGCTTCTTCATCAAGGTTTGGACAATGGTGCATCCTGGCCTCTTCTCATGGATCGCTGCCATTTCAGTGTCCAGCGTGTCCTCCCCAGCCTTTTGGAGGAAGCTGGCTCACTTTCCCAGTAGGTTTGCTTCCTTCTCTTGCCGGGATGCTTGACACCAGCTCAGCGGTTTAGAAAGGACATATTTGAAACAAAATCTTGATAAAGTTATTCTAGGGAGAAGGAAATGATGCAACGGGGGACTTGGCCATTTGGAGGAAGTTGGATTTCCGTGAAGGGCGTTATCTAACCTACCTTTTTTTATTTTTTTTTAATAAAGGCTTTTCTGGCCTGTGCAAGAACGTGTTCAGCTGCATGAAGGCTGGGGAGAGCAGTTGTAGGCCACGTTCACCTGCCTGGTTTGCTCCTAACACATTGGCTTGCCTCTGAAGTCTTTGACCTAAGGTTAGTTTTGCAAAATGCCAGGTATTTCCTAGCAAAGACTGTAAGAACGATCAAGCCACTATGCAGCTAATGAAGGGAGCAGCAGTGACAGCAGGCCGTGAGGGGTGAAAATAAAGAGGAGGTAATAGCTGAGTAGAAAGGGATGTTTACTTGTGATAGAGCATTGCCTTTCCAGAAGACATGCTTGTATTTTACAGTTTACCTTCTGCTTGTTGCATGGGTCGGTCAGATGTGACCGTTTGTGTCTGAAGTTGGCACCTTTACCCTTCGCATCCCGACTTGAACTCTGGGCAGGGGATGGAAACAAACGTTTGCCCCAGATTTCCTATTTGCAAATGGACTTTCATGGCTGCTCATTTCTGTAGCTGTGTCTCAGCTGCCGGGTTGGGTGGGTGGCTAGCAGCAACATCAGCAGCTCTTTCCACCCTCTTTTTGACTCAGCTCGCGAGCACAACGGAGAGCAGCCTGCTCCCGCTTCGCTGGTGCCTCACCAAGTCTGTGATAATGTGAAATGGTACCTTATCAACCTGAGTGACAAAATCAAACGTGACTTCTTTTTCTCCTGCAGACAGGGCTGCTGCAGAGGGGAGCTGAGTGCTTTGCTCCCTGTGCAGCCTTGCCAGATAGGTTTACACAGACTCCTTGTAGGCACAGCGGGTGTGTGGGTGTTGCTGAGGGTAGATGTACAGAGTGGCTGTCACTACATGAAAGGGAGAGAAGCCGGTGTGACTGTCACATCCCAGACTGAGTTTGCAGAGCTGTAAATTGAGTAAAACAGCCTCTGCTTGTCACTTGGGTCTGTCTTGGTGAGAGGGTGCAGAGGCAGCAACCGGGGGCTTGAGGCCGTTTCACTGCAACAGGGTTGTGCTCCGAGATCACCTTGTCGGAGCAAGGGAGGCAATGGGAAATGGTCGCTTTCCTTCCTTCTTGTTTTTCATTTTTCTTTCTCGTGCTGCGTAGCCAGGAGAGATCAAGGGAGCAAGCTTGCAGAGGGGGAAGCTCAGTTGCTCTGCAGTGTCCCCCCCTAGAGACGCTGGCTGAGCGTGGAGGGGCTCTGCCCTGGGGGCTCTTGCAGAAGCGGGACCTGATGCGTTCCCAGCGATGGGATGCTCAGTGGGCAGCACTGGCAGCTTGCAGCCCTTCCACGAGGAGGGTGGGCTCTGCAGGCTGGAGGAACAAAGGGACGTTTTCCACTTTCTTCCTCTCTTTCATTAGCCAGGCAGAGACCGATTCAATTAGGTGCAAAACAAAATGCCAGGAAAAGGATGTTTGCTATACTGAGTGGTGCTGCTGTCGCAAACCTGCTTGCCTATCTCTTGCAGCCTTTTGTTCTGCTTCTTCCACAGATAAAGTGATTCAGAGCTTCTGACATGCTGCTCTGAGAGCGGGAAGTCCCCAGGGTTAGCTGGAGAGAAGCGAGGAGCGGGGTGGTTTGGCAGGAGAGAGGCTTCCCTGAGCTAAATCCTGTGAGCTGGTGACAGTCCTTGGCGCCTGCCGCCTTCAGCTGGCATCTCGAGTGCCGGCTGGGTCTTGGGATCAGGCCTTTTGTAACAACGAGGTTTTTAAGAAGACGATGAACCTGTGTACTAGCTGGAAAAGAGCTGCTGTTGTGCACTGCAAACGGACAGGCTGTTGTTGTCCCAGATCAGTCCTGGTGTGGCAGGAGCCGGCTTGTCTCAGGTGAGGTCTCATGGCTGAGCGGGTCTGCACCCTGGATCTTCTCCTGAGGACAAAATGTGTCCCAGCAGGGACAGGCTCTCTGCCATACCAGTGTGGACGTCGTGTGCCCCTGGTGACTCCCAGTAGCTGGTTTGCAGCTCTGGGAGGACAGGCAAGGAGCGAGAGCCCGGATGACGCTGGGCTGGTGTTCCCTCTGTTCTCGGGAGCTCCCCTTTCAGGTGCAGTGAATCCTTCTGGCTTGCTTCGCGAGCAGCCACCTCCAGGTCCTCCCTTTGACCTTCTCCCTGGGTCTGCAGAAGCGCCACACTCCCAGCTCACGTGGAGAAGCCCAGCTGGAGCTGCCTTGGCCTCTCGCCCTCGGGGCAGTGACTCCCGAAGGTGTCGGCAGTCCCCTTCCCAAGAAAATGGGCTGAAGCACGAGCAAGCAGCCAGCTGTGGGCTCCAGATGAGCAAGAAGTAAGGACAACTTGTCTCCATCTCCAGCGACTCCTTCCCTGCGTCACCTTGCTGAGTTGCTGCAGTTTAACCACTGACCAGCACTACCTGTTTTTTCTTCTTTTACCCAAGGCTGATCACTCCCCTCTGTTCCAATCTCCCTGTTGAACCCGCCGCTCTCGGTGACCCGTGCTGTGATCCTCAAGCTCTGGAGCTCATAGCTGGGTTTCGTCTTGCTTTTATCCTCTGGATTTGGCTTAAAAATATAGAAAGATTGGCAGGCTGGCCATCCATATGGGAGACTAGTGAGAGTGCTGTAGCGAAGCACTGCTTTCTGGTGAGAAAAGTGCAGGCAGTGAAATGGCAAACGGCACGTTTGGCCTCATGGGGGGATTTGGAGCAGGTTGAGCAATGCTGTTCATTTAAGCAACTCAAAACTGGTATTGTTGTGTAAGGGGGAAGAGTGGGTTTTTTTTTCTTTTTTTTTTTTTAAAAAAAAAAAGAGCAAAAATTAAGATCTGCCCTTATGAAAAATCTCACTTCTTCAAATCCATCTGTTCTGGCAGCCCTTTGGCACGTCTGTGAGCCGCACTGACCTTGTAATCCTAGACCACTTGGAAAAAGAATAGATGCTCTGCTGGGTAGGACTGGGTTCTGAAATGGAGATACCTGATACAAATCCCGATTCAGCTCTGTCCTTCCAAACCTGGAGCTTCAGCTCCTGCAGGGTGTTTTCCTTTCCCAGCACATCCGCAGGGCCACTGTCACCCCCTGCTAGCAGGGAGGAGGGACATGGGGGGCATCTTCTGTGGCCTTTCTGGCGTACCTGGACCCCATTGCCAAAAGCAGATTTGCTGCTGATCCAGAGGATGAGATAAATTGGGGGCCAGAGATCTTCATCGTGGCTCGGGATGTGGGGGGAATTGGGACCGGCAGGGAGGGTGGGGTGGCTGGGTGTGGGCTGCCCGTGACATTGCTGCTGGGATGGGAAGGGAAAAGATCCTGGGAAGACGCTGCTCTCGCCTCTCCTGAGACGGCTGTCGGTGGCATGGTCGTACCCAGATGTACATCAAAGCCACCCAGCCCTGTGAGACCAGTATGTGTGTGGCCTCCGAGTCTGCTTCACCTGCTGCTCTAGCTAAGTCACGTAGACCTTGACGTTGATGGCAGAGTGGGGAGCTGAATGCAGGGGTCCCAAATTCTGTTCTAAGGCTCTAATCGTGGGGTTCCCCTTGCTTATACCTTGCTGGATGGGTGCTCTGGTGCCACCTGGTCATGCGAGGACTTGTTGGGTGGTGGCTCTGCCAAGTGCCTGCCCGTGGCTGCTCGGCACTTCGGTTTCCTTGTCGGCGTCAGGACTAATGCCCAGAGCTGGAAGAGCCTGCGAGAGGCTGAGCAGATGAGAGGAGCAGCCCAGGCTCCAGCTGAAATCCGCAGGGGGCACCCGGCCTTCCCACCATCTGTTCCCCAGCTTGCAGATTGCACAGAGACTGGGCTAGTGGAAGATATTACAAAAATCTCTGCTAGATGGTTAGAGAGAGCACCACGACATGGGAGGGAGACGTTGGCAGCCACCTGGTATGTAACTGGGAAGGAGCAGTGAGCTGTTGCTTGTATGTCAGTGGGTGAGGTGGGCATTACCGTGGTTCTTCAGTGCCTCTTCCCCCTGCGAAGGTGCTGGGGATGCTCTGCTGAGCATGACTGGAGGCTCTTTTGGCGCGATGAGCAGGGGAGGTTCTGCCAAGATGCACGTCCCCAGCGTGGGAGCTCCTCTGTAGGGCTGAGTGCCTGGTGTGTGTTTGAGCTGAAGACCTCAGCACCTCGTCTCCAGCCCTTGAGCTCTGCGGGGATGGAAGCTCTCATGCAGGAGCTTGGCCTGTCTGGATGCAGCCCTGAAAGCTCAGCTGTGCTTCCCCCACCTTCCCTTGCTTCGGTGTGTTGTGCAGAGGGGCTGGCTGCGGAGCAGCGATTGCCTCCGGCGGTTCACCGGCCAAGGAGCTGCTTTAGGAGGGAGTCAGCTCGCTACCTGGCTCCGAGGGGCACACGGAGAGGTGAGCTTCTCTCTTCCCTTTGCTGTAACGGTGGCAGCCCCGAGCTGGATTGCCCCTGGGAGCCTGGACATCAGCCTCTCCTTTCGGGAGTGGAGAAGGAATATGGGAACGGTGTGCCAACTGCTCCTTGCTCTGGTTTTTCTCCTGCGGGCTGTTGCAGCAACCTTGCAAAGCAGAGGAGTGTTAAAGGCTGATCCGACTGCACCTTGGAAAGAAGAAACCGGATTTATCGCTTCCTCTTCTGATCTTTACAACGGCTCAAGGCTGGATTTGTGCCAGTCGCAGGGCAGGGATGTTCCCTCTTTTCTTCCCTGTCTCATGGATTGTTCTGGCCTACCGTCCCTTCCCCAGCCTTATCTGCCCTCGCATCTGGTGAGTGTTTCTGCCTGGCCTAGCCCCGCTGAATAACATGCTCTCTCTCTGTCTGACTCTGCAGGATTGGGAGATTCTAGTCCTGGAGAAGCTAAAGTGGGACCTGGTCTCAGTGATAGCGAATGATTTCTTGGCTCACATCCTCCATCACCTCCCGCTGCCTAAGGACAAGATGGAGCTGGTGAAGAAACATGCACAGACCTTTATCGCCCTGTGTGCCACAGGTGGGTGCCTGCTCCCACTGCAGACGGAGAAGCCGGGGCTCGAGTCAGGCTTTGCTGGGTAACCTGCAGCAGGTCTCCACTGCCCTGGCTTTTCTGGGGAGCTGAATGCCTGCCTTCGTTCAAATCAGAGCACTGTGCTGCTCAGTGACGTGTTTTCTATCCCTGACAAAGGGGGAGAACCGTCTAGGGGGCTCTTGGTGGGTGCCTGAAAGATGCCAGGAAAGAGCAAAGCCGCCGTGCCACCCGCCTTGTGCAGGCTGTGACTGCGGGAGGGCGTCCAGGGTAAAGGCGGCGTTGAATCTGGGCTTTTCTCAGTCTCGCTCTAAGTCACTAGAGCAACCTCATCTTCAAGACTTTTGGTGAGACAGACCCACAGAAATAGTTTAATGGAGCTTGCTGCTCTGATGCTCTGCCTATTTCTTGTTGCTTCACTCCCGTTTCTCCCCGTTAAGCTGGAGAGACCCCTCTGTCTGGCCCTCTCTAGTTTTCCAGGGAAACCCCAGTCTGAAGAACTCGCCACGCACATCCTTGCTAATGGCTGCTTCTTTTTGCCCCTTGTGTCCCCATCCCGGCTCTAGACTACACTTTCGCCATGTACCCTCCCTCCATGATCGCGACAGGCAGTATCGGGGCGGCGATCCACGGCCTGACGGTCTCCGTGAACGATTTCACCGGCGAGGCGATCACCGAGCTGCTGGCCAGCATCACTGGCACGGAGGTGGTGAGTGTTGGCGGGGGAAGAGCGAAGCGGTTTTGCTGCTGGATCTGGTCTAAACCCTTCCTCTTTCTGCTGCTCTTAGAGGGAGAGGCACTGAGGCTGTTCGTAACGATGCTGACCTTGGTTTGAGGAGGGCCTAGAGATGAGCGAGCACCCCTAAACGCAGCACCCTCGGTCAGTCCCGCGGCCGCAGTTGGCTCCTGGCCGGCGGGCGCTGCCTGTGCGGAGCGGGGCGAGCTGGGGGACCCTTTGAACAGCAACACAAAAGGGGGAACGTCTGTTCCCTGCGCGGGCAGGTGTTGGCGGGATCGGGTTGACAAGGTGGGACGGGACAGAGAGAAAAGCTGGGCTCAGCATCTGCTAACCTCCGCCGGTGTCTGGTTGCAGGTGCCCAGACTCGGGTGGGAAGGGGGTCGGGGGGGCACAGAGGGTTTCAGGACGGTGGCTTTGCTGGGGACACCAGGATGGGGGGGGGGGCGTCTGCCTGTTCCTCCACTGCCCTTTCAGTGGGGACGAGGGACCGTCCGGCTCCCCGTTTCCAGGTCACTTCTGCTGCAGCAAAGTAATCGGGAGCTTTTTTTTTTTTTTTTTTTTGTTTCTGCCAAAGGCCCCTTTTGATCTTTTCTTCTGCCCAAGCGCTGATGCCGGCAGCCGGGCGCGGGGTTAGTTACAGTCCCCTGACAGCAGCGCCGGGAGTTGGAAGAGGTGCCGGTGCCGCAGCGGGTGGGAGGCTGCGGCGAGGCTTTGTCCAGGCAGGGAGGGGACGGGGCAGGAGGACGTCCTGATCTATTTGTGTGGCTTCAATTTTTTTTTTTTTTTTTTGTTGTTGTTGTTGTTTGCCGGAGCCTTTTTAAAGAGAGAGAATCAGTGCAGCCAGCTGCTTTCAAGCTGCTGCGGTGAATGGGACAGGGGCTGAAACCTGCTGTAGGTCGGGGCTGGTGGAGGGAGCAGGTGGGAAGCAGGAAGGGCCCCGCCGAGGGAGGGGAGCCAAAATGGAGCTCAGCTTCACCTCTGCTCCCCTCCCTCCTCAGCCCAGAGAGGGCTTCTGTTCTATCCCACAGCCTGCCCGAGCGTGAGGTGCCGCACAAACAGCCCCTGCCCAGGCAGGACCACAGCGTCACCGGGCTCCCCGGGGGAAGCACCCGGCCTTGACCTCCCATGGTTGTGGCGTTGCTGCTTCTCCCTGAACCTCACCTCGCAGCGTCCCCAGACCGTGACTCAGTTTCCCTTTGGCTCCGCACCCGGGGGGGGGCGGGGGGCGATCCCCTTCCCGCAGCTCCTGAGGCTCAGCTGGGCAGTGCGGGGAATCCGTGGGGACGGAAGGGGGATGAGGGAGCAGGGTTGTGCCAGCTCCGTGGCCAGCGGGAGCTGCCCTGCCATGTCGAGGCTGGCTCACTGCTGGCTGTGTCAGCGCTTCGGGTGAGTCTTGGAGCTGCTCTGGACCAGCCCTCAGCCCCGGCGGAGCAGAATCAGACCCGCTGGCTGAGCCAGAGCCCCACGGCACAGCTGCCCTGCAGAGCAGAGCACGCGCGGGCTGGGGCAAACCAAGCTGCCTCCCAGGCAGCCCCCCCCTCCACCCCCAGACCCCTGAGGCTTCACCAGGCAGCAGAAGAGCCTGGCTGCCCGTGGCCAAGGCAGCTTTTAGCATCCCTGCTGCCGTTGCTGATGGAAAAACCCGGTTGCGGAGAGGCCGGCGACGGGCCGGCCGTGGCGCGAGGCCCTGCAGCGAGCTCGGCCCGGGGCTGCAGGCTGGAGGCTGCGCTGACGGGAAGCGGCGTGGGGAAGGGGAGGTGGGCGTTGCTATTTTCGCTCGCCACATCCTCTGTCAGTTTCTAAGAACCGGCAGCGGATTCCTGGTAAGAGATTTCGGTGTGTGACCGTAGCCAGCGAGCGCCCGCGGCGTCCAGCTCGGCTCCGGCTGCGAGGTGTGAAATGCCACCGCTTACCCCTCGGGGAGAGCCCGGCCGGGGTATGCCCGTGGGCAGTGCCTCCCGTGGCTCTCCGTGCTCTGGTGGCGATGTGGAGGAGTTTCCTCTTCTGGTTAGAGGTGGTGTGGGGAGAAAACGGAGCGGGGTTTGCTTTTATTACAAGCGCTAC